TTTTCTTTAGTGGGAAAAAAGGCTGAGGAGGAAAAAAGAGTACATCACCTGAATTTACAAGTTAAGAGAAATAAAATTTGAGGTGGGTGGAATTCCAAGTTCCAAATTTTTCTTTGGAGGGGTCTGTTCTTGCTTCTCCCCGTAATCGCCAAACAAGGTCGCCAACTTTAAATGTTCGTGGCCTGACCTTGGTCTTGCCTTCCTTGTGGTTTGTCGCGAATTGCCTTGCGGAACTCGGCATGCTCCTCCATCTAGATGTACCCAGCAGCGCGAGCTTGGAGCTCGTCCATGTTGGGAAGAGGTCGTCAGCAAAGGCTATCGACGAAAGGTCCTGGCTTCAATGCCATGAGCATGGAGTGTAGTGCGACCTCGGGATTCAGATTTTGGATCTTTACTGAGATGGCGGCGAATCGTTCCATGAACGTCCTAAGTGGCTCGTCGTCACTCTGTTTGAGACTGGCCAGGGCAGCTGATGTTATGTGATGAGGTCGGCTCGTCGCATACTGTGCTGTGAATCGTCTGACCAGGGTGCCGAAGCTGTCAATTGACTCGGCAGGTAGTTGGGTGTACCAGTTGAGCGCGGCCCCTTTGAGCGAGGTCGAAAAAACCCTACACAGGATAGCATCCTCATTAGTGTAAAGATTTACCTGTGTGGTATACAGATCGATGTGCTCGTCCGGATCTGTGGTGTCGTCGTAACGGTCGATGTGGAGAGGCTTCCACCCGAACGGGAGAGGTGTTTCCATGATGCCGTCCACAAAAGGATGACGGCGGAAGGTCGCCTGATTTCCCGTGACGTGGGCAGGAGCGTTGCTTACGTCATGTGCTGACCTGTTGGTCCTTATGTGAGACTGATGTGTGGCAGGCCTGAGGGTTGGTGCCCTAGCCGCTGTTGACGGTTGAGAAACTGAATGCCCTTCTTCCTCATGCAGGTTGCTTTGTTGAGGGGGTTGATCAGAGGGACGCCGAGGGAGTTGAGTGCAAATACGCTCGTTCTCGGCGCGTAGCGCCGCTAGGTCGGCCTCATTAGCGGTACGCATCGCGGCTAGGTCAATTTCGTGCTTGGCACGCATACTTTGTAGATCTGCGGCGTGTTGCTGCCGCATCTGCTCGACCTGCTCGATCAGTCGTCTCAATGCTGCTTCGTTATCCATGTTAGTGGTGTGATCTAGGTCGTCTGTTGCGCGTCTGCTATGGCTTCTGGTGAAAACCATAAGCGTGGCCGATAAGAGCTGTCTTGATCGGCCCCACGGTGGGCGTCAAATGTTCTTACCGGGAATCCGAGGTAGGGATGATCCGCTGGGTAAGATCGGTGAGCCTCCTTCACGGATACGTTGATGCTCCAAGATGAGGGTGGTACCTGCAAAAGAGACTCCGATGCCAAAGTTAGTGTTTGTGGGTGTATGAGTCTCGTATAAGTAATGCACGTACCTTTGTGTGTATTAGGGTTTTGTTGGGCCTTGGGCCCGAGATCAGTTTATGACCTAATTGGATAGCGAGCCGATGTTGCCTAGCGCGTGTCCGATGTCACTCCGCGCTGTGATGCCGAGCTCGAGCTCGGCATAGCGGTACAGATAGTACAGGCCTAAACTCAACTTTAAAAACTAACAATTGGGGTAAGGTTGTCCTTACTTTTATACCCCACTATTTTGATGATATAATTAGTTAATGTGGAATCTTCAAGACACTTTTGTATCAATGTTTGAACTTCTCAAAATAAAATTTACAAAATTGACTATGTATTGATAGTTTGACAAGATCCGATAATAATTAACTTGTTAAACTCAATAATAACTGTAACAAAATCTAAAATCATTTTAGAATTTAGATTTAATCTCCCAACCTTAATGGTATGTTTGATATACACCCCAAATTATTGCACAAAGAGAACAATAGATGGAAAATTGATGAGTAATAGAAAACATTTTTGTTCAATATTTTATTTGATAGAGAATTGACGATACAAATATATTATATATAGTTATCTGAAACACACTTTTAATAAAGTCAGAATATGCTAGCCGCTTCTCCAATTTTCTCATCATCTCTCACATCCCCACCAAAATTACGATTGCTCTAGCTAGCCCCCTTTGTTTTGAGATTAATTTGTTTTCTTTCTTCTCCCTTTTTTTTTTGTCCTCTATTGTTGCACTACTTCACTGCAAATTAAAATAGTCACTCATGCATGACCTGCTATTTTTTTTTTTCCCAATTGAATTGCCTATGTTAATTGACATTTGCCCCCGATTAAATTGCTTACAATTAAATTGAGAGATATGCTTATAATTAAAGAAAAAAAAATGATTTGAATTCTACAGGTTGCAGCAACAAGAGTCAAATAGTTGAAGTGGAGGGAAGCCATAAAAGGAAGAAATTAAAAAAGCAATACGAGGGATTAGAAAAGGAAATGAGGATGTGCGTCTGAAATGTTATAAAGAAGAAGTCAGGGTTGGGATTACATTTTATGAGACTTATCCCAATCAATAAATATGAACATTTATATATATTTTGTTAACGATATTAGAAGAAAAAGTATTTATCAATTTTATGAGTAATTATAAGAACTTGATTGATTATTTAGATATTTTATTTAAGAGATCGAGTCGAATACTCTTTAAATTAATGATTTATTGATATAAGACTTTATAAAAAAATATTTTAAGAGATCGAGTCCAATACTCTTCAAATTTTGTGTTGGCTTGGCTCCTGTTAAATAGCAAATAAAACGGACATAAGAATTATCTCGTGAGTAGGAATTATCTCTCACATGTAATCAGTGAATTTAGTGAGTTATTTTCTTATCTTAAATAAAAGAAAAAAGACTTTGAGCAAGTTATTTGCTATCTTTGAATATAAAACAGAAACGTCTCATTCAAGAAAACTGAGTAGGACTGAATGAGTGGTGAGCATTCAATGGAAGATAAATGGATAATACAATTAATATATATATATATAAGGAGAGATCTGTTTATTCCTGGAATAAGTCTATTTAGACTTATTTCGTTCAATAATTCATGTTCTACACCAAATTTCAACGATCCAACCGTTCAATTTAAAGTTCTTAATGCATAGATCAAATCTGCAAAATTTTTAAAAAATATAAAAATCATTTGATACTTCGTTTCATTAATTCGAATCAATGTATAAAATAATTTTATGATTATTCGTCAATTTGAATTAATGAAATGAAGTATCAAATAATTTTTAAATTTTCTAAAAATTTGTAAATTTGATCTATGTATTAAGAACTTTAAATTGAACGGTTGGATCGTTGAAATTTGATGTAGAACAAGAGTTATTGAACAAAATAAGTTTAGGTAGACTTACTCCTGGAATAAAAGAATCCTTCTTTTATATATATATATATATAGGGAACATATCAAGTGAGAGAATTTATTATGAGAGATGAGAGAGTTAAAATATAATCCTTAGATTAATTTCCTCTCACTTAATTAAACCCCAAATTTTCTCTCACTTGATTAATCTAAGGGTTATATTTTAACCTTCTAACCCTCTCATCTCTCATAATAAATTTCCTCTTACTTGATATGCTTCCTATATATATATATTCCAAACATTCCTTATCACACTTAAGTAGTTATTATGCAGTGATACTATTATTCTAAGGTATATTTATTAAGTTTTTATTTATATAAGAAGTAGTATTTTAATATGAATAATGTAAAAATATGTTTATTATATATAATTAAAATTTATAATAAATTATATATATATGTATATATATAAATAAATACCATTTTGAATATATAAATTTATTTAAAAAATTTGAATAAATAAATATTTTAAATATATAAATTATATTTAAATTTAGAATAAATAATTTATATTATAATAAAAATAATTTTATTTATTAATAATTTATTTTAAATATTAACATTTAATTTATAAATATTTGTGATTAATAAAAATTAAATTAGATAAAAAAAATTATAATAATTTTTACAAATTTTTTCGCTAACTTTTTTTTATTTTTAAAATACTCTCACAACACTTCGTATTTAATATATAGAAATTGATATTAATTGGTTTACTTGTGAGTTTTTTATTTATAAAATTATTCGTCAGTAAAAATGTCAATTAGTTTTATTAATCAATTTTTTAAATATGTATATATCTCAAAATTTTGTACTCTAAAATTATTAAAATTAAGGTTAAAATGTTTTTTTTATATCTATAGTTTTAATTATTTTATTTTTAGTTCCTATAACTTAAATCAAACATTTTCAATCTTTATATTTATTTGTTTCAATTTTTTTAATCTTTATAATTTAAGATAAATCTTTTTAATCATTATACTTATAAAGTGGTAATTTTTTAATCTTTTTAATTTCTATCATTAATTTTCTTTTTGTAATATTGTCTGTTTTGTGTCTTCATAATAAAGATCTTCAATTTTATAATCTCAAATAATGAACATTGTAAGTAAGAGTATAAAAGAGACATAAATGTGAGAGACTTAATTTAGAATAATTTTAACAAAATAAATTTGATATTATACCTCATAGAATTAAATTAATACTTTTGTCACGTTAACACAACATAATTAATGTTACAAAAAATTAGCAACAAGACTAAAATAATTAAAAAATAAGTATAAAAACTAAAAGATCTATTTAAACTACAAAGATTAAAAATGATTAAAAATTAATTTTTTTTATTTTAAATTATAAAAATTAAAAGGTAAAGTAACTGAAATTATAATAATTAAAAAAATATTTCAACCTAAAATTAGTAAACTAAATTATATTTTTTAAAATATAATTATGTACTATGATAAATACATTTTCTAAATCATAAAAATATGAAATAAATAATTTTTAAGAAATGAAAATAAAAAATCCTCAATCAGGTAGCGTATTTCACCTTCAAATATTTACAAAAATCATTTTCGTCCCCTCGATGGTTTTCCTTCGAACCGTGCTCGCACGTCACTTACGTTTTCGTTTGTCTCTATTGTCGGTGCTACCCAACGAAATACCAATCATTCAATACTTTAAGGCAGAGACATCGCTCGCACAGGAAAAAGATATATCATATATGGTTCCAAAAGACTCTTTCCAAATCACTACTGTACTTGCAACTTCTCATGGACGCTGCAGCGCTTGCCGTAGTTGGTATCTTACTATTAATATGTTACTTCATCAAACCGGCCACACCAGGTTCTGCGTGCAAGCCACCGGAAGCAGGCGGTGGCTGGCCTTTGATCGGGCATCTTCACCTATTTGGTGGCTCCGGTCAGCCTCTTCACGAAACCCTAGGGGCGCTGGCAGACAAGTACGGCCCAATATTCAGCATCCGAATTGGCGAGCCTCCATGCGAAGCCCTAGGAGCGTTGGCAGACAAGTACGGCCCAATATTCAGCATCCGAGTTGGAGTGCACCCAGCGGTGGTGGTGAGCTCTTGGGAGTTAGCCAAAGAGTGTTTCACCACTCACGACGTCGCTCTTTCCTCTCGTCCCAAATTCACCGCTGCAAAACTCTTGACATACGACTATGCTAGTTTCGCCTTCGCCGCTTATGGAGACTTCTGGCGTGAGATGCACAAGATAACGGTTTCCGAGTTGCTTTCGGCACGCCGCTTGGAACTGCTTCAAGGCATCAGAGATTCGGAGGTGCAGAGCGCGTTGAAAGAAGTGTACAGAGCGTGGGAGGAGAAAAGAGGTGGCTTGGTGGTGGAGATGAAGCAGTGGTTTGGAGACACGAGTTTGAACGTGATTCTGTGGATGGTTGCTGGAACGCGATACTGTGTTTCAAGTGTAGATGATGAGGAAAAGGTAAGGCGTGTTCGGAAGGTAATGAGAGAGTTCTTCCACTTGTTGGGATTGCTTGTGGTTGGTGACGCCATTCCCTTTCTGGGGTGGCTTGATTTGGGAGGTGAAGTGAAGCGGATGAAGAAAACGGCTATTGAAATGGATATCATCGTTTCTGAATGGTTAGAAGAACATCGACAGAGAAGAGAATCGGGTGAGAGTGAGACCAAAACAGAGCAAGACTTCATTGATGTGTTGCTGTCTGCCCTTGATGGCCTTGATGGTTATGATGCTGGTACTGTCATAAAAGCCACATGCTCGGTAAGTTTAGATAATTACTCGTAAGTAGTAATAGAAAGAAAATAAAAATCTAAAACGAATTAAGCTCTTCTCATAATAATTTAAATATAGTTCATGCATAAATTAAAATTAGTATGTAGATATATGCACACTTATTATTTATTTTTGCTTTAATTTATAGATATGTTAATTTTGATTTACTGCAGATTTTATTTTTTCTTTCAATTCTTATCCAAATAAAACTTAAGTGTGAACTCTTGCTTTAAATTTCAAAATTTAATTTTTCCACTTTATATATATATATATATATATATATATTCAATCAATAAAATATCATGGTTAGTATAATTTTAGACATAATTATTATAAAAATTAACATAATTATCATACATTTTATAATATATAATTGGGCTGAATTGAATTTTGATCCCATAATATTTAATGAGCAATTTTTGACTTCCAAATTTTAAATGTAATTTCAGCTTTCTAATTTTATAAAATTCTTAATTTTGTTTTCAATCATTAAATTTCATCATGACATAACATTAAGTAAATGATATGATAATTAATATTTAAAAATATTTAATGATAAGTTGTAATTTTAGTCTTCATTTCTAGTCAATTTTCATCTATTTTTATCACTTTTGTTGATAAAAAATAAAAAAAATATATAATTTAACATAAAATATTATTACATATTAAATATCGCATTATTGATTTATCATCATGTAATAGTTAACAGTATGATTTTAAAAGTTAATAGATCGATCGAGTATAATAACCTATATTGAGTATTAGATTAGTTTTACTCATCCTTGTTTAATTATGGTTAAGATGGATATATACAAGATAGTTATTGTAAGAAAAACAAAAAAAAAGTTGTAATGGCTGTTCAATTTAAAATTTTGAATTTGTTGACGATATTGTTGCATCTTGCAGACACTAATTGCTGCGGCAACAGATACTACATCAGTTACCATGACTTGGGCACTATCGTTATTGTTGAATAATCGCAATGTCCTGAGGAAAGTTCAAGATGAACTAGATGTGCAAGTGGGCAAGGAAAGACTGGTGAATGAATCAGACATTAACAAATTAGTATACCTTCAAGCCGTAGTTAAAGAGACAATGAGATTGTATCCAGCTTCACCACTTCCTGGTCCACGTGAATTCACAAAAGATTGCACCTTAGGTGGCTACCATATCCAAGCAGGTACCAGATTTATTTTGAACGCTTGGAAGCTGCAAAGAGACCCAGGTGTATGGCCTGACCCATTAGAGTTTCAACCAGAAAAGTTTCTCACTACACACAAGGATGTGGATGTGAAGGGTAAACATTTTGAGCTACTTCCCTTTGGTGCTGGAAGAAGGTCGTGCCCTGGCATATCGTTTGGCCTTCAAATGACACTTTTGGCATTAGCTACTTTTTTGCAAGCATTTGAAATCACAACCCCAAACAATGCCCAAGTTGATATGAGTGTCACGGTTGGACTCACTGTCATCAAAACCACTCCACTTGAGGTTTTAGTCAAACCTCGTTTACCATATCAACTTCTCTCTATGGATGAAACTAAGGAAAATTCAGCACATTAACCTTTGGTGTCTATCCCAATTGATGATTGTCTTTTCCCTCCAGCCCCATGAATATCAAAACCAAATTAAGTCTTGTACTTATACGTTATACCCAAAAAAAAAAAAATAACACGATCATTCAGTGTAAACAATAAAATCATTTTATATGTAATAAGAAGGAAGTCTTGAACGCAGCGTCTCACTTGTAAAGGAACTTGTTAGTGAATTTAGTGAAATTTTTTCTCCCATTTTAGGTGGTGTTTGGTAGGAGGAAAGTGGAAGTGATGGAAGTAGATGTTTCCATCATGAAGGGAGAAGAGGAGAATGTAATGTCTAAAATATTATAATTTATGTTTGTAAATTTAGAAAAGTTTTTAAAAAAAAATTATTGTTTGGTTGAATTTTTAAGGGGATAATAAAATCTCATCCCATCTAATTTTAACTTCTCCTCAATATTGAAAGGTTTTGGAAGAGAGAGAGAGGAATTTTAAAATATTTCAAGTGTAATGTCTAAAATATTTTAATTTATGTTTCTAAATTTAAAATTTTATAAAGATACAAAAATAAATTAATTTTTATTAAAAAAGTATATAAAGTCTAACTCAATTTTATAAAATTAACTTATATAAAAGTATTCATAAATAAATAAATAAATGACCATATTTTTAAAATTGCAGTTAATCCCTAACATTTTTAAAATTGCAGTTAGACTTGTCATTAAAATAAATACATGTTCTCTCTTTTTAAAAAATATATAT